GGGGGGGGGGGGGGGGGGGGGGTTAAAGGATCTCCGTGTCTAAGCCTCTCGAGACCAAAACTTTACCCCTAGAACTACCATTAACGAGGAAATAATAACTCACATTTCTCATACAATTTCACATCCACATCCTCCGTTTGTACCCAAAAAGCTTCTTTTCCAAAAAAAGAAAAAGAAAAAGAAATCGAAACTAAAAAAATTCATTTTTCCACTTCACTAGCAAACAAAGAACCGCTATTCTACGGAATAAATACCCCCATGCTTTCCCTTCAAAGTCAATTCTCTTTAACTCCAGTCACCTTTTCTCCCATGCACTTTCAAAGGAATTGACAACAAAACAGGCTATGTTTAGTCTCCATCCAAATAACAATCTCCCTTTAAGTCTCCTCCCTCTCCTCAACCCTCTCACGATCAAAGAGACGATTTTCAACATTGGACCACATAGTTCTCAGCTTCTCATGAAGTTTTTTTTCTTTTCCTCCCATAATTGACTGAGCATTCAAGCTTTTTTAGCTCTCATTCTACCTCATTGTCCCACCCCAACTTTCTTTTTTCTTTTTTCTAGAGTATTCGGAATCTCGAGGGGATTAGAAAAGGAATAAGACTTTCAACTATCAGTCTATTAGTCAAAAGGTCTCCCCCTGCCCCTACACCCATGGCATTAGGACAACTTCCGCCAAGAGAATAGGGTAAGGTCCACTCAAAAACTGGAAAAGAAATAAAAAATAGAGACGAAAAACCCAAATCTAAAAGACCCAATTCAATCAACATACCTGCTTCCAGAGGCTCATGATCAATTGATAATTGCAACATACATATTATTCAACAATAACTAGCGATAACTATTGGCCAAGAGAATGAACAAGTTTCATAGCATTTGATGTAACAACCCATTTCCCATAATATAAACATACTTACAGAGTCAGAGCAAGTTACCTTAATATAATGGAACTAACAATGGCTTAGTTTGGGGTAGCAGCCACAGACGAGACCATCGACTCAGATCCACAGATATTGTTGCCCTTGCAGATTAAGTAGTAGCCATTTTCTCCCCAGTTTTCACCCACGCATGAAATTCCTCTTACGTAGGTCTGCAGGAAAATTGCATCGACTCCAACAGCAGCGGTCTAAGATAAAGTAGAAAACTAAAAAGGAAATGGTTAACAAACAATGTCTACGTTGAAAGAAAAGGCCTAAATCATTAGCTTCATTTTTTTCACATTACAAAGGGTTTTAAAGCGGGTTGAGAAATCATATAACGCATTTTAAAAGTGATGATAATAATGGAGAAGAATTTCATTACTTGCTAAAGGGCCATTCTTAACCAAGTTTGTTGCACTTTGGTCGTCGTCTTTAGATATGACACTGGAGTTGGCTACCGAGGCAGCGATTATGCCGTTTCGGAATTTGCAAGGGCCACGATACCTCCCAGTGGAAGGATAGTCCTCCCACCGCTCCAGTCCACCTGCTTTAAAAATGTACTCAAAAGATGAGTTCATCAGTCCCCCATCGCGTCGCATGCACCAGCTTCCTCGGGATCACACTGCAAAAATCTACTTTTTTACTTCCAAATTTTCACTGATGACACTGATACTGTCATATTAACTATGGTTAACGAGAAATTACTCAGAGAGGTTACTGATAATGTCATGAATATCTGGAGGTCGATTATTAATTGATGAGTTAAGTTCAAGCAATATAATAGGCATCATCAAAATGTGTTGTGTTGTGCGTGATTGGGTGGGCTTGATTTCAAGAAATTCAAGATTGTTTTAAAAACTTATTTTTAAATCAAGATGGAAATGACCCTTTCCCTTTTCTTTTCTTTTGTACAATAACGTAGGAATTAAACTTCCAACCTCGAAAAGGTATTCGATACCATATCTACCGTAATATGTTATAAATCAGCTTAATTTCTACAACATAAAAAAATATCATAAAATCTTATTTCAATGGTTTTCGTTATCTTTTAAGGGATCGTATCCTAAAATTTGGTGGTCAGGAATGCATGCGATGAACTAAACGTTTTGATATCCGTGTTCCCATCTCAAGGTCCAAGAACCATACTATCCAAACAACTACGTACAAAAATTTGTTCCCCAACAAAAAATTGCCAAAATATTAGTGGAGAGAGGGCAGATAGAGTATTATCCAAAATAATAATAATAATAATAATAATAATAATAATATTATTGTAAGAAGGTTAGTGTAGGTGGGAGAGGAGACTTCTCCCAGAAATATATAAATAAAGAAATAACAATTTGTAAAAAATTTAGTGGTAGAAATTTCAAACTACTCGATCACCGTGGGAGTTAGAACTCAACTACATAAATAATTGAGGGTTTTGACATAACCCATCAAAATGACTACCCCGGTAAAATAAAAAATAAAAAATAAAAAAAAATCTACATGACTATTGATTGATTCAAGTTGAATTCGTTTAGAACAACTAATTTGAAACTAAAACAAATATTCAATCAGTTTAATTCATTTCAACAACAGTATCACTATATTTCGAAGTAACTTCATTATTTTCTTGCAATTCAATAAAGTTTGGGTAGCTTTAATAGGATTTGTGGTTTCAGCATGAACAACAAAATAAATAATTTAATTCTATTCCTATTTTTAGTTCAACTAATTAAACCAAATTTAAGAGTGTTTTTTAAATTTTAATTGAATTTCAAATGTTGAAAGTAATAACTTTGTAGAACAGATTTAACGTTTAAATTTTAGTCAAAATTTCTAGATTATATTTAGAAAATAGGAAACAACCAAAAAGTACTCTAACTAAAATTAGTTGTTTTTCTAATAAAAAAAATTAACAAAACGTGTTATTAAAATAAGTATGTTGTATTCAATGTATATGTATATATATAGTTAAGTGTGTTATTTTTAAACGCCAGGGTCAAAAATCACCCAATAAATTCTCTATAATTTTATAATAAACAAAAATAATATATTAATTTTCAAATAACATCTCAAAGATAACTTCCTTATATTCTCTTCAAAAACTAACATAAAACAAAATCTTGTGATGTCTTTATATATTTCTTCAGAATTTCCTAACTTCAAAAACAATTTTTCTTCTTTTTTGGAAAAGATAAGAACAATACTAAATTATTCATTTGTCGCCGAATCCAAATTACCAAAAACGTTGATGTGTTTCCCATTTGTTACATAAAATGATATATAGTTCATAAAGTAGTGAATAAAAATTTTCCTCTAAGAATTATTTTTAACTTAGATAAATAAATGAATTCTATTAACATTTCCGCTTGAAATAAACGGAAACAGAGAGTACGAAATCATTCCTTAGTTTCGCAAAGCAACAACAGTTTTTCAACCTGACCTGAATAGATTCTTGAAAAAAGAAAAGAAAAGAAAAGACCTGAATCGATATAGGTTCATGCCGTCCTTAGAGAAAAAACAGATTTGTTCATGGATATATTTTTCATTGACTTTGGAAAAGATATATACAGATCATTATACTGTTCTGATCATTAAAAAAACACATCAAACTTACAACTGTTTTTCTTAATTTTTTTTTTTTTTTTTTTAGTTTCGAAATCTAATCAAATTTTAAAAAAGAGACTAGAAACCTACTGTAAAGTAAATTTTAACTTGTTAAAACTATTTTTATATATAAACTTATTTCCAATCATGCTATTGAACATCAACTATGATCATGTATGAAAAATAATCAAACATAAAATTGATTTTGAATTAATAAAGTCATTTTAAAATGATTTTAAATTCTCACATAAAAACGATTCTGTTTCCTATCACAATAAAGGAAAGAAAGAAAAAACATACAGTAGATTTTAAGGCAAAAACTAGGAGTAAACCAGCACAGTTTCTAAAACCAACAGGTTATAAACCGAACCTCAATTTATTTTATTTTATTTTATTCGACTTTTGCAGCAGCAGGTTAAGGAGATGGAGAGAGGATCATAGTAACAATTGCGAATAGAAACAAAAGGCAATAAATCCAAGGCAGGAAAGGAATGGAACGAACCTCATGAATCAACAAGCTGTTACTCACTCAAAGACCAGCGCAAGCCACGTGAATCCTAAAAGATACAGAACACAAACAATTCTCTCAAAAAATAAGAAAGCAAAATCGGAAGTTCAAATACTCGACAGACTTGAGAAAACGTTCCGAAATAACTCATACCTGCTCTTTGACCAGCGTGACGGCACCGTGGTAACGCCAATCGAAGTAGGAGGCTAGGTCGCCAATAGGAATGATCGGAACCTACTGAGAATCGGCAGAAAGATGGAGCCGATTCACTTCGACGAAATGTGTACGGAACTAGGACTCGGTGAGATCGGATAATCACGTGACGCCATGGACGGCGCCGGGATCGAGCTCCTGCTGGTGCTTGGCTCTACGGAGGTAAGCCTTGAAGATACGGAACCTGTAATCGTGCTCCTCATCAATGGCGTAGGCCTTTCCGAACTTGAGTTTGGAGTTCTGGAAGTTTTTTGCTCGGCGGTAAGGAGACGACTACAAGGATCACAAGATCTTCGTCGTCGCTGTCGGCGCCGTAAATTTGATCGGGAGATACGCCGTACGCTACCTTCGCCGAAAGTAGAATGGTAAAGAAGAAAGCGATTGCAACGAGCCGCTCCACAGAGACAGAGACAGAGGGAATGGGGATCTGAGATATTATGGGCTGTACGTATCGAAAACAAATGAAAGGAGAAATATCGCGATGAAGTGAATGATAACTGTACTGCCACGTTTCGGTTTCTTATTGGCTCATTTCCGTGAGCGCGAAAAAACTGTGACGGCAATGATCACTAGGTTAAATTAGCATTCTTTTTTGAAATTTATTTTAGTTATTTTAGTTTGTAATTTCTAATTAATAATAATATCTATTCTTCATACTCTCGTGTTACAAAGTCTAATTTCATAAAATTAGTCTAACAGATAAATACAAAATAATATTCAATCTCAATATTTCTCCACCATATAATTCATGTATCAATATGAGATAATATCAATATGGGAGATGAATACAATATATCCATGAACCAAACTTTTATGACATTTTACAGAGAAGATCCAAACATATAGTTCAGTGGTACGTGTATTAAGGACCATGCTTGATTTCCAAATCTCGAATTGTCAAACCCTTGGTGGACTATGCAGCTGGATGTCGGTTCTCAAAGACGCCTCCGCTACTGGTTCCGCTGCCAATGGTTGTTCTACACCGACCCGAGCCTCCCGACTGTCGTGGTCTTTCATTATGAAAATAAGGGAAGGGGCGGCGGCTTTAATCCTTCTCCATACGGTGGCTGAGTCAGAGTTACTGAGATAGAGTTTGAATGTTTGGTTGCGAATGAAATAACGGAAGAAATAAAGGGTGAGAGCGAAGATGGATACAGAAGCAGTGATGAGAAATAAGCTGCTAAAATAACTGAGGTCAAGGCTGGAAGAAGACGCCTCCGAGCCATCGTCGCTGCTGCCAGATTGGAAGCTGATGTTCTTCCCAAACCACTTCTCGTTTATTTTGTTTATTTTATCACTCTGAACCACTTTCAACACTTCCTTCGATATATCATCGACCAAAGATGAACCTTGTCTGAACGCCTGCAGTTAAACCTTATGTTTTACTTCATTCCATGATAATTTTTAGTGTAATTATAAACTCAAAATATTGATGAAACAAACAACTGAAATAGAAACAACAAATTGAGTAGAGAGCTTTCCCGACCCGAATATTTGTAAGAGAGAAAACACTTACTAACTTCTTAAATTTTTTTTGAGAGAACTACTAACAATTTGGTAATTACTCCCTATTCTACTCTGTTGCTATGCAAGTTAGTAATATATTCAGCTAAATTTATTGATAATTCTTCCACACTTTCTCCTTGATCAACTTATTCTACTAAGTCAAGTTTGTTGGATGATGAAAGTCCCACATCGATTAATTTAGGGAATGGTCATGGGTTTATAATCTAAGAATACACTCTCCATTGGTATGAGGCCTTTTGGGAAGCCCAAAGCAAAGCCATGAGAGCTTGTGCTCAAAGTGGACAATATCATACCATTGTGGAGAGTCGTGTTCGTCTAACAAAGTTTACTAGTTCACACCTTTAAGGATGATCAACGATGAATGCCGGTAAGAGATCGAGGGAAAAGAACTTACAAATCCAAAACCTCCACCATTGTATTGAGAATTGCCCATGGTATAGAAACCTGGATATCCTGCATCAAGGAGCTTCATGTAAGGGATCTCGTCAATGGAAGCATCAATACCGCCATTGCGACCTCCTTTAAGGAAGAGATCATGCAGTTCCTCTGTTGACGCATAAGGCACCAATTTTTTTATCCCTAAGAGCTTCAGCGTGTCGTAAACATAGGACCCCTTTTGATACCCAACAATCCAATTGTTTTTTAGTATCTGATTGATGTCGGTGACTGGTTGGAGTTGTTGCACCGTTAGCCACGACGTTAAGCTTGCTGTGTAGCTCTGAGTTAGGACGAACACCACGAAGAACCATATCGCTATCACGAACCTTGCTAGATTGCTCCTTAATGTCTCCCCTGCATATGCATCAAAACAAAAAAAAAAAAAAATAATAATAATAATAATAATTAATTTAAAAGGATTTTTAATTGAAATAGTTGAAAAGATAAATTTTTAATTATTACTTTGGGCAAAGACCATGATGCTGAAGGAGAACCAGAGACTGGTGCCCATTTGCTGAGACAGAGGACCGGAACGAAAGTCTTCACTGTTTTTATGTTCGAGAATCCAAACGACAAACCCCATGAAAACGAAGAAGCAGAAGCTTGTGATCCAGAGGTCCCAAGTCAAGGGCTTCAAGAACAGCCATGCATGGTTCAGCGAGTCATGTCTTGCACGAACCACCACTGCGTTTCCAGGTTCCGTAAATGGCGAAGTAAAGTCCACAAACGTAGATCTTTTCGCTAATATTGTTATGTCTCCAACCGCACCATCAAATCTCTGTCCACAAACATCACCCTATTATTATTATTTTTTTATTTTTTTTTTGCAATTTATCCCATAAAAAAATTCTCCATTTTCTTTTGGAGTTCTTTATTCGAAAAAAAAATTTAAGGGATAGCTTTGATACCAGGTTAGACGAACACTAATCTTCACAATAGCATAATATTGTCTGTCATCCCAAATAACTCATAACAACAAAAAGAGTATTCTTTGATTATAAATTCATGATCATTCCCTAAATTAGTTTATGTGAAACTTTCATAATCCAACCAATAAGTCAGGAAGAGGGTGCCAGTAATCCTCACCCCTCTATACACTTCCATTATCAAGCTGTCGTATGATGAAGGTCGGCAGGGAACAAATTCATATCGAGGAAAATGAGGAATCTCGTTAACAGCGGCCGTGAAGATATCCATACAGTATCCGAGGATGTTGGGGACCTTGAGGACGGAAGGCTTAAATACTTTATTGAATGGAACTGCGATCCTCAGTCTTTTCCTTGGATTAAATGAACCCCATCCCCTGGGGGCTTGAACGGAGTATCCAGGCCAAATAATAGGTCTTAGTTTACCATTCTCGTTAAATTCAGCATTCCAATATCCCACCGTACTAATTTCTCCCTCTCCAATTACATTTACTATTTGCAAATTTGGGGACTCTGGTTGGCCTTCAACCAGACCAAACTCCCCCCCGCTCACTCCTTTGAACCGTATCTTCGACAGCGCCTCCATGATTTTCCTTCCATTGGGATCCGTTCCAACAGCTCTCTCAGATCTCTCGACCGCCATGGCTAGCGCCCAAGTAGCATCGTAAGCCCACAGCCCATAAACATCAAGTCTCGGATCATCAATGTCTGGATTTTCCTGTAGAAATTTCCTTCTCCATCGAAGAATGAACTCGTCGAGCTCCGTTGTCCTCGGGACATAATTCTTTACTCCTAAAACCCCCTGCATCGAGCTGAGAGTTGAAATAGACATAGAGTTTAAGCCATTTGTCGTGGCGTCGGTGATAATCCACGCATAGCCTTTGCTCATCAGCCCAAGTTCATCGGCCATAGTGAAGACTCGAGACGCCAGGCTAGGAACCATGTGGACAACGAAAACTGATGTGTCCTTCATACTCAATATCTCAATCACTTCTCTAATTTGACGCTCAGAAGCTGCGGGGTCGATTCCGTGAATGTCGGTGTGGACATTGTGTATCTGTAAAGCCTGGATGAGATCAGTGACAGTGGATTTTCCAAATTGGTCGTCTTGGTAAACGGTAACCACTTGCTTCCATCCAAAAGAGTTAACGATGTCGGAAATGGCGTGAAATTGGGAGGAGTGGTTGTACGGTACGCGGAAGAAGTACGGAGATTTTAGATAGGAAAAACCAAGAGCTGCTGATGGTAAGAACGAGATTATAGGGACCTCGGATTTCTCAGCCAGTTGGATAATGTAGCGAGCCTGGAATGAACCTTGTGGCCCTAACATGGCTTTTACATCACTCTTCTGTATTAGCTCCGACGCTGAAACACAAACAACCAAACTTTTCATTAACCCAACTATTCAATATTCAAATGTATTTCTTAATTAATTTCTTCTTATATAAAAAGAAATTAAAGTGTAAAATGAAACTTTTTGAACATTTAAATGTACTTTTTTCAATATTTTTTAAAATAAAAAATGCATTTTTGAAATAAATTATTATTACTTCTCAAAAAAATATCAATCTTATACACATATAGACAAGGTTCCATTCCAATCTCTTTACTTTTAATTTCAATTTTAGTTAATAAATTTTAAATTTATTTCATAATACTTAATTTTTTAATCAAAATTAGAATACCAAAAAAAATTATATACTTGTAGTTCAAGAATTTATAAAAATGATATTAATAAAGGTTACATTTTTAAAAAAAATCAATAATAAAATAATAGCAAAGACCATTTTAAGAGTTATCTAAAATAGAGAGACTTAATGAAATAAAATTCAACACCATAATAGTATTTAAAGAGTTAGGTCTATTTAATTTGAGGAATCCACACAACCACAAAGAAATAGACTAGAGAGAAATTTTACCTTAATTAAATGAGGACGAAACCGACACAAAATTAACCTATGATATATATATATATATATATATATATATATATTATACACTTACACATATATGCATACACATAGATACATACATATATACACATCAATTTTAAATTTTAAAGACTATGAAGTGATGAAAATATAATTAAGTAAACGGAAAAGGAAGAGAGACTTCCTCGTCCTAATCAGCCCAAACACCAGATTGGTTCGGCTGTTGCAAACTTGACCGGAGCGAGCCCAATCAGCAGCCAACAGTAGAGAGAGAAGGAGAGAGAGAAGACCTCGATTGGCGGTCAGAACAAGATCATCCTCGGAGTCCACGACGTGAAGAACGATCGTGGCGTTGAGTTGAGGATGAGAAACATTGAAGTCGGAGAGCGCCATATTGATACAACTCAAACTCATCTTCCCTGCCCAATTGCTTAAATCAAGAACCACCCCCACATTCACCACCGCCGTCGTGTTCTTCTCTGCACCGTACGCCGTCCGCCACAGGCCAACCACCACCACAAACCCTACAAACAAGTCCCTCCAAGAACTGGCTTTTGGAGACTTCATTTTTCACAAACCCTTTTTCCCTGTACCCTTCAACTTTCAACCAAACACAAATGAATAAATACAGAAGGGGATAAGGAGCTCTTCCCCTCTCCTTCGCTCCATAATTTCTCGAAGTATTTATTAAAAAATAGCCCACTCTCCAACTAAATAAATAAATAGAAAATAACAGGTCAAGCCCATTTATTTTTAGAAACTCGTTGACGTGTCAATTTCATTTTGAATTTTATATTTTATATTTTATACTTCCCTTTTCTTTCAATTAGTCAATTCAAATTTAAAAATTAATAAAGTGAGAAAGACGTTTGAAATTGATATTATAAAAAAATGGGTGAAATTGGAATATATGCATACAAAATGTTAAAAAATGGCTTGGACACGTGTCAGCGAACTACTGGTGGAAAATCAATCCTTTAATTCCATGGGATTCTCTAAAGCTGTTACTAATTCAACTCCGAGTTTCTTATGAGTTTCTTATATACATATTTTGTGTATCAAGTCAATGATATTTGGGAGCTGTAACTAAAACTGGAAGTCAAGGCAAACAAGAGTTTGATATCAAGTCATCTCAAGTAAGTGACTTCTGGATCATGTTTTAAAAGATAGCCATACTATCCAAACAACTGGATACAAAATTTTAGTGGAGAGAGGGCAGATAAAGCATTATCCAAAATAATAATAATCTTATTATTATTGTAAGAAGGTTAGTGTAGGGGGAGAGGAGACATTCTCCCAAAAATATATAAATAAAGAAATAACCATTTGAGTTTAGTGGTAGAAATTTCAAACTACTCTGATCAACGTGGGAGTTAGAACTCAACTACTCGAGTGTTATGATATACTCAACTATTCAAATATTCAGCATAAGTTCTCATCACTTTGCTTTCGACTTCTCAAAAGGCCTCATACCAATGGAGTTATCCAAACCTATCATTTCCTAAATTAATAGAGGCGAGACTTTCATCGTCCAACAATTTCAACAAGAGTAACTTCATCTTTTTCTTGCAATTCAATAAATCCAAGGCAGGAAAGGAATGGAGCGAACCTCGTGAATCAACAAGCTGTTACTCACTCAAAGACCAGCGCAAGCCACATGAATCCTAAACAATCCAGAACACAGAAAATTCTCTCAAAAAATAAGAAAGCAAAATCGGAAGATCAAATACTCGACAGACTTGAAGAAGCGATCCGAAATAACTCATACCTGCTCTTTGACCAGCGTGACGGCACCGTGGTTACGCCAATCGAAGTCAGAGCCTAGGTCGCCAGTAGGAAGGACCGGAGCCTTCTGAGAATCGGCAGAAAGATGGAGCCGATTCACTCCGACGAAATGTGTACGGAACTAGGACTCGGTGAGATCGGATAACCACGTGACGCCATGGACGGCGCCGGGATCAAGCTTTTGCTGGCGCTTGGCTCTACGGAGGTAAGCCTTGAAGATACGGAACCTGTAATCGTGCTCCTCATCAATGGCGTAGGCCTTTCCGAACTTGATTTTGGAGTTCTGGAAGTTTTTTGCTAGGCGGTAAGGAGACAGGAGACGACTTCATGGATCACAAGATCTTCGTCGTCGCTGTCGGCGCCGTACATTTGATCGGAAGATACGCCGTAGGCTACCGTCGCCGAAAGTAGAATGGTAAAGAAGAAAGCGAGTGCAGCGAGCCACTCCACAGAGACAGTGACAGAGGGAACGGGATCTGAGATATTATGGGCTGTACGTATCGATAACAAATAAAAGGAGAAATATCGGGATGAAGTGATAACAAATAAAAGGAGAAATATCGGGATGAAGTGAACGGTGTTAGACGACTCTCTACAATAGTATGATATTGTCTACTTTGAGCATAAGCTCTTATGACTTTGCTTTGAGATTTCCCAAAAGCCTCATACCAATGAAGATGTATTCTTTGTTTATAAACTCATGATCATTTCCTAAATTATCGGATGTGAGACTTTTATCATCCAACAAACGGCAAGTGTATTGCCACGTTTCGGTTTCTTAATTGCTCGTTTCCGTGAGTGGGAGAAAACTGTGATAGCAGTGATCAGTAGATTAAAATAGCATTCTTAACGCCTCAAACCCAACGATGTCGACAGTTATAAAATATTATATGTTTTGATCTGTTACGTAATATTCTCACTGTTTTACAACATATCTTGTAATAAGAAATTTCTATGTTCTTATAAAGAATGTTTTGTTTTCTCTCAATACGTGGGACCACATGTTAAAGCAGGCGGCCGGCCACTTAATTAACAAGGGAATCACACTAAAATTCAAATATATTGTGCCGTTAGTCGCCGTTTCTCATCATTTTGGGCATTTCACTCTTAAAAACCATGCTATCTCTCTCTCATACATCGCCATGATAAGATTTTTTTCCCCTTTAGGATGGAGACTCTTTTTAATGTATATTGATATAATATGATAGTGGTGGAAAAATAATTCAGGTTCGGGTTGGAGAAGGGGTGGTTAATTGGTTTATCGATCGGTAGGGACAGCTGAACATGACTGATGAAGAATATTGAGAGTGAAGAGATTCAAACTCGTAATCATCAAATTCTTTCTACTAATTAGTTTTGGCTAACTATATTATATTCGTGGGAAAAAAAATTATTGGTAGCCTCGAAATGAAAGTCCACAGAGGACGCATTTTAAAATATTGAAGGAAAACCCGAAAGGAAAAGTCTAGAGAAAACGCGTTTAAAAACTTTGAGTGGAAGTCTGAAAGGGAAAGTTAAAAAATGACAGTATCCCCTCCTCTAACCGATGTGGTATAACGGATCAAGTTTACCGTACTCGTTGGACTTTCTCTCAAGGTTTTTAAGACGTGTATGCTAGGGAGAGGTTTCCACACCTTTATAAATAATGTTTTGTTCTCCCCCCCTAACCGATGTGCGATCTCACAATCCACCTCCCTTTGAGACCCATTGTCTTCACTGTCACTCGTTCCCTTTTCCAATCGATGTGGGATCCCCCAATTCATTCACCTTCTGAGCTCAACATCCTTGTTGGCACACCGCCTCGTGTCCATCCTCATTCAGGGTTCAGCCTCCTGGCTTTAATACCATTTGTAACGGTTCAAGCCCATCACTAGCAAATATTGTCATCTTTGAACCTTTTCATTCAGGTCTCTCCTCAAGGTTTTTAAAACATGTCTGCAGAGGTTTCCACACCCTTATAAATAATGTTTTGTTCTCTTCCCCAACCGATGTGAGATTTCACAATCCACCCTTCTTCGCGGCTTAGTGTCCTCGTTGGCACTCGTTCCCTTCTCCAATTAATGTGGGATCCCCCAATCCACTCACCTTCTAGGCCCAGCATCCTTGTTAGCACACAACCTCGTGTCCACTCCCTTCAGGGCTCAGCCTCCTCGTTGACACACTCTGATATCATTTGTAACGGTTCAAACCCACCACTAGCAGATATTGTCCTCTTTGGACTTTTCTGCTAGGTAGAGGTTTTTATGCCCTTATAAAAAATATTTCGTTCTCCTACTCAATTAACGTGAGATCGAACAATATATATTAGTATTTAATTTGCATGGACTATCCCATAATGAAAACCCCTTCAAACGTAGCATCATTTCTGAAAAATAAAAAGACGTTGAAACGTTGGAGGGTGTCATCGAGTGGGCGTTTGAATACAGCAATATAATGGCCAGACGAGAGGGGGTTTTGTTTCAGATTATGGGCATGAATGGGCATTGATGTGCCCCTCCCCACTTGCCTATTTCAATTAAGAATATTCCAATTCATCCACTTCCCTCAATTGTCTAATTAAGGCCACTGTTGAAAGGGACCAACTGGTAATAATGCAGATTTGTGTCTAGTTTTTTTTGCTTTAATATATTCCATTGCCATCTTCTCAACCATGCAACTTGGACTCAAATCTCAGCTTATTGGCATTTCGTCGAATGGTTTACAGGCATCTGCTTTTCCCACCTTTTTTTTTCTTCTTCTTGAGTAATGATGTGTGAAATTTGGAGAAAGTGGGTTTTGTGCTTATCATTCCCATGAACGTGGATTCTATATCAAAGGATAAACTTAAAATTATAAATTTAGACTATAGTTTGATTATGTTATTGGATGTTTAAACGTAAGTTTGTGTGATAATAATAACCAAAGAGATAGATACGATCTCATGATTCGAGACTTCGAATCTTGGATCGTAAAATAGAATCTATCATAGAATTTTTTTAAAATTTAGAGTTTCTAACAAATGAAAAAAGGATCTCAAAAGACACGCAGCCCTTAGAACGAGATGTTATGTATGATGAAAAAAAATACCAAAATGTTCCTATAACTAGATATTATGTATGATGAGAAAAATTACCAAAATGTTCCTAGAAGGAGATGTTATGTATGATTAAAATGACCAAAATGCCCTTAGAAGGAGATGCTATGTATGATAAAAATTACCAAAATGCCCATAGAAGGAGATGTTATGTACGATTTAAAAATACCAAAATACCCCTAAAAGGAGATGTTACGTGTGACAAAAATTACCAAAATGTCCCTAGAAGGAGATGATATGTACGATGTAAAATTACCAAAATGCCCCTAGAGTTCCGGCACGTCTTTATAATGAATATAATTAATAGGATAATTGGAAGAACTAATACAAATCTTTTTTTTTTTTTTCTTAAAATTGAAAATTACTAATACAAATCTTTGCTTTGGGCTTCCCAAAAGGTCTCAACACCAATGGAGTTAGTACCCTCGAACAAAGCACACGCCTCCCCTTAATCGAGGCTCGACTCCTTTTGGAGTCCTTTGCTCGACATTTAAGGATTTGTCAATCTATTGGCACGGCTAAGTTTAGGGCATGACTCTTATACCATGTTAAACGAACACGCCTCTCCACAATGGTATGATATTGTCCACTTTGAGCATAAGCTCTCATAGCTTTGCTTTGGGCTTCCCAAAAGGCCTCACACCAATGGAGTTAGTATTCTTCACTTATAAACCCATAATCATTTCCTAAATTAGCCGATGTTGGACTTTCATCATCCAACAATAGTGATTTGTGAGAGTAGTTTAAAGATCAAAAGGGTAAGACTCAAAGAACGGTGTATACTTTGTTGGTTTAGGTTTAGATACACTCGTAGATCTTAATGCTATAACCTTTCAGCACACATTTTTGCAGTCAAAAAGATGAGAAGAAAAAAAAATCATATGTAATGATGGCTAATTCACTATACTAGATTTACTTGTCGTGTAACGATCTAGGATCTGATCGTTATTATATGTATGTCGTGAACATTTTCAACTAATTCAAGAAAAAGTAGTTATCCTCGAGTCTTTATTAAACAATAGCTTAAACATAATCAAACATACTATATTATTGTCTAAGTATAACAATTCAAGACCCCTCTTAGCAAATATTGTCAGCCTTGATTCGTTATATATCGTCGTCAGTCTTATAATTTTAAAACTCGTCTACTAGGGAGAGGTTTCCACGCTCTTATAAAAAATGTTTTATTCTCATCTCCAACTAATATGAGATCTCACAATCCACCCTCCTTCAGGATTCAATGTTCTCGCTAGCACACCGCTCGATGCCTAGCTTTTGTATCATTTGTAACAGCCATAGTCTACTGCTAGTAAATATTGTCCGTTTTGATTCGTTACGTATCGTCGTCAGCCTCGTGATTTTAAAACGTTTTTGTTAAAGAAATGTTTCTACACCCTTATAAAAAATATTTCGTTTCTCTTTCCAACCGATATGGTATCTTACACTAAGACTGGGCTTAAGACATAGAAACTATAAGTTAGTACAAGACATCACATATAACATACATCATGCTTGTTGAGGCGGGTTAAATTCATAACTGTCTTGTTGGTGCGTAAATAACTATCTAATTCTAGCACTTCGGACATGTTCCACAACAACTTACCTCTTTTAGAACCAACTGCCCTTAACTTGTCGGCCAATGAACCTAGCCAATGCTTGCTGACTCGATTGCTTATTGGACCACTTAACCAATATTATTGCATTAACTTGGAAGGAAGGCCCAATTGTGTGACGTCTATTTTCAAAGTTCATATCTTTTAATAATACGTATTAGATGAACACGACTCTCTATAACCGTATCATATTATCTATTTTGAGCATAAGTTCTCATGGATTTAATTTGAGCTTCCCAAAAAATTTTATACCAATGAAGATAATATTTTTTTATTATAAACACAGGATCATTTTCTAAATTAGTCAACGTAATATTCCTATTTTTACAAAAAAAAAAAAAAATTATAAAATTTTGAGTATTCTTGTAAAAAAAATTATTTAAATTAATAAATAAGTACTTAACCACACCTGGTGTGGATTATTTATATTTTTAATCAATAAAAAAAAACAATTATTCTATGATATTATTTATGGAATCATTTAATTTGTATTATACGAGGCCCACCACACTAGAATAAGTGGGGAGAGGTATGATCATGTCGATGTTACATGTTGGCTACATTATACCAATTGCTCCTAAATATTATAATAAAGTTTTTAATTACATATTTAAATTTTGTAAAGTTTCTTAAGCTATAGTATTGTTCGAAGACAACCTTTTATGACAATAAATTGTAAAATTAGTAATACACGTGAGTACAATTTTCTATTATGCCCTTAAATTATAGCGTGGATCGAGTATTTTTATTTCATAGTTCATAAATATATAAAATATAAAATAAAAATACATTAAATTGATTTTATTTGTTAAATAGCATATTCCAAAATTTAAAATT